GAGGCACTTGGACCTGGACCAAGTATTTCCTCAAGTCCTGTTCGACATGAACATAAAAGGAGCGAGCCAGATTCCCAGCACCATCAGAGGGCTGAAAAATCCCTGCCGCTGAGCCATGGCCCCTCCTTGCCCGTGCACAGGACTCGGCTCGCCCCAGAGCCACACTCCCCTTCCCTGTGCCAGCACCGGCCCTCCACGTGAGGCCAAACCCCACACCCACGCTGGATGCAGTCTGGCTCCACCTTCATCCTGCTGCCATCCCTGGTGGGATATAGGTTCCCCCCCTCTAGTGACCCCAAACTGCCCAGCACCCAATCCTCCTGCCTGGCACAGGAGGGTGCCCTGGGTGGCAAGTGGTGCTGGCCGGCTCCTGGCCACACTGCTGCAAGCCCTGGCTTGCTGCCCTGGAGGGCTGGGGAAGGTATGGGGTGGCTGCGTAGGTTTGGAGGCAGGAGCGGGAGAGGTTTTCACACGGCTGCCCAGGAAGGGGAGAGCACAGCAGGCTGCGTCACACAGCCGCACCCAGCCTGGCCAGCACCGCCATACTCCCCTTCCCCCTCCATGCCGTCATGCCAGGAAACCCCTTCGGCAGGTGCCAGCTCAGCCAGGAGCTGCGGCAGTGCCAGCTCTCCCACTTCCCGCCTGGCCCTGCTAACCATGGCTTCCTTCCTCCCCTCTCCGCCCAGCCAGTCCTTTGTTCCTGTGTCTCCATCACCGCACTCAGCAAGGTGCCCACCGGCCACCCTTGTCCAGCGTGGAGGGAAGTTGGGTGCCTGCACAAGGGCGCAGGCAGCATCCCCCAACGCCTTCCTGCCTGCAGCACTGAGGGTCTCTCCTCTCCCCCAGCTAGCAGATGCTGGGACATGCCATACAGCATCCAGCTCCCCAGACGCCAGCCCTCACCCTGGCTCCACCGCAAGCAGCTCAGGCCCACAGTCTCGCAGCCTGCCTAGCCAAGGTGTCAGGACCCCACTAGACCCACTTGTCATGAGAGGACCAGCGGAGCACCTCCTTTGCGTGACCACTGAGCTGAAGCAGCCTCCCAGCTCACCCAGTAACATCACAGCAATGGACGCAGTCAAGAGCCAAAGCATGCACTGGTGCTGCTTTTCCCCTGTGCTCCCTAGCTCCACAGAGCAGGACCCCGCTGCAGCCCACAAAGCTGGGGCAGGACACCTCCTTCCAGCCCGCTCCAGCAGCCCCAGGCCTGGCAGGACAACCTGCCCTGCCGGCAGCGCCCTTGCTCAAGGGAACCGGTGGCCAAGGACAGCGGCATGCTCCAGGCAGGAGTTTTAGGGCCGGGGATGCCTCTGGGGTGCAGAGCAGTGCAGGGTCACCCTTTACCATCAGACAAGGGCCCACTGCCCCAGCATGCAGCCCAGCCTCACCAGAGAGTCCCCCCAAAAGCTGGCTACATCACCAGGAATGTCCTCACTGCTCCTGCCTGCCCTGCCCTGCCCAGGACGGTAGCGTTTCCCAAGCCCTGAGGGTAGTGCTGGCCTGCACACACAGTGGAGCCATTGCTTCACGAGGCCCCTGCCCTGGGAGGCTCCTCCATCCGACCAGACCCTTTGTTAAGTGCTGGCTCGCAGCCAAGAGAAACATTTTTTAGAGAATAAACTCGCTGAAGCCGTCTCTGCGTGCTCAGTAGAGATCGGCAGGCCCCGGGGCAGTGGCGCTGGCGACTTAAGCCTCGCACTGTGCCCTCAGGGTCCGTGCTCCGTGCTGGGGTGCTGCAGAGACTCGCGCCCTCCGGGACAGGAGCGTGGTGCCGGGCTCGTGCCGGGGGCATGCCCCCATGCAGCACTCGGTGCCACGAGCAAAGCTGTCCTTTGAGAAGCAGCCTCCATGCCAGCTGCCCAAGCGTCAGCAGCACAAGCGATGCAGTCGCATTCCAAGGCTTATATGGCAATTCCGTGGCCGGAGCTATGGCCAGCACCCACCCAGGGGACCAGGCCAACTGCAGACAGGGACCCACAGGTACCCAGGGCCAGACATGGCCTGGGCGAGCATCACACCAGGAGCAGCTTGCACAACAGCTCTCACTCATGCTGGAGAAACAGGATGGTTTTGCAGTGGGAGCCACATCCCAACACAGGCAGTAGTATGGGCACCACAGTTTTCCTCCCCTCCCTGCCCGTTCCAGGGGCCAGCTCAGGTGCAGAGCTGGAAGCCATGCAGCAGGAGGGAGAGCAAGAGGGCACAAGCCGGCTCCCAGGATGCTGAGCATGGTGTTGCAGTACGGACTAGGAAGCCGACCTCATAGCTGAGACAGAGTGAGAGCAGCTCCTCTCCTCCTGTGGTGGGCACACTCCGGAAGGGGCCTCCCCTGCTCCCCCCCGGCAGCCAGAATGACTCTGCAGAAGCTGTGCAACATTTCACATCTCTGCTGCGGTCCCCTGCCCGGAACACCCCCGTGCCGGACTGCAGCTGATAAGGCTCCGAGGAGGCTACACAGAGCCATGCAGGGCAGGACGCAGGGGCCCCGGCCCATCCGCATCCCCCATATGGCTGTGCCTCAGCCACCTGGAGGCAGCCACCACGGTTCCCACCCACAGAGGAAGGATGGGTGTTGCTGTTCTTGGCTTCTCTTACCCTGGAGATGGAGAGGGGCATGCTGAAATCCTTCCCTCCCTGCAGCCTGAAGCCCCAGGGTGCTGGCCCGTTCAGCATCACCTTGTAGGACTCCATGTCGCCCATCTCTGCAAGGGAAGAGGGCATGATCCTGGTGTTAAGGTATATGGGAAAAACGGAGGGAGAGCACGTGAGAAGGGGGCCTGGCACACCTGGCAGGATGGGGCAGGAGGAGACAGGTCACATTTCCAACCGTAACTCCACCCTGACCATCCTATACTGTGGTTAGAGACGCACCCCAAATCTATCAGCATCTCCTCCATCAGCGCAGAGATGAGGGGCCCAGGCTAATGCTGACTAGTGTCAGAGAGCCAGGTACAGCCCCACTGCCACCCACAGTGGAGCACCCGTGGGCTCCACTTTCCCTTACCCAAACCCAGGACACGCTCTCCCTTACAACACCCCAGAAACTCACACCACTGAAAGCCAAGGCTGTTTCAGACTGCAGAGAACCAGCAGCAGGTATGGAGGGATGGGAACCAGAAGTGTTTTTGCCAGGTGAATTAACAGCAGCAGCCCAGGAGCTGCGTGATGCCACCCGAGGCGCCTGGCAGAGCAGCCAGGCTGGCGCTCCGGCAGCCGGCCGAGCAGATGCTACCTGGGAGCGAGCCCATCTCCGCGAACAGAGCTGGGGCTTCGGCGGGGAGGGAATCCCGGCGCTCCCCTGCCTGCCAGGGCTGCGCTGACAGCTGTCAGCCGGCCAAGGCTCGGGGCAGACGGGCCAGCACCCGCCTCCTGGCTACCTAAAAGGCAACACCAGGCCCCTGCGAAGTTCCCCAGGACTTTTCTCCTGCCTCTGCCAGGCGGGGGACAGGGCCAGCTCCAGGGGCGCAGGGCGCTCCCCACCCCTCGCAAGGGACGGCGGGCTCCCAGCTGGGAGGTGGCGGAGGCTGCAGGGCTGGGGGCCAGCGTGCCCCCGCTCTCCCCGGGCCGGTGCGGGCTATATAAGGCGTGTAAGACGACACCAGCCCGCTCCCCGCTCGGGAGGGCCGGGGGAAGGCTGCGTGTCAGGCATTCCCGGCGCCCGCGCAAGACCCAGCGGGGTTGGGGGTCCCCGGCAGCCCCCGGCTGCAGAGCTCCCCCTGCTCCTGAGGGAGCAGACCCCGGGCTGCCTGCCCCACGGGAACCCCCGCCCCCCCCTCCTCAT